ACACACACACACACTCAGTAGGTGCGTTTATTATTATCATTATTATTGATCTTTTTGAAGCCTGAATTTTGGTGCGGTGCCGTTACGATGAGCACCAAGTCGTCCCTCGCGCAGGAGGAACCGAAAGATGACGTTTCCTGCTCGCAGGCGCCGTTAGCCCCCGCGTCGCCGGCACTCGACGAGCTGCTGGGGCGAAGCGACCTGAGCGAAGCGTCACGGGTGTCCGTGTGGGGGAGCCCGTGCGTCTCGGGCAGCGCCCTCCCCGCTGACAACTTCCAGAGAGCCTCGCCCAACACCGGAGACGCGCCGCTGTGCGCGGCGGCGCTCTCCCGCATGGCGAAGGACGCCGCTACTGGGGATATGTCGCTTCGCGCGGACTTTTTAGACAAGAACGCGCTGCCGCTGGTGAAGTTGAATAAAGGGCATCGAAACTTGAGCATGATCACCATTATGCCAGAAACAGAAGACAGCAACTGCGGTTCGCCGCTGAGGCCTGAGACGGAGGTGGCGCCTGTGATCAACACCGCGATGAGGGTGCGGGGGTCCAGGGTGTCCACATCGATGGCCAGTGCTGAAAGCGTCTGCGGGGACTCCGTCGCGCAGGGCCACCTCAGCGCTTGCAACCTTGATGGCTTATCCTTCCAGTTGCTGAGCGGCAATGTGAGGTCGACATCGGATGCCCTTGCCGGTCACTGCGTGCAGAGGACGGACGGCGTGGTGTCGGAGTCCGTAGCGGAGGATGCAGGGACAAGCGTTCGTGTCGAAGTGGGCAGCGATACACGGTGTCGTGTAATGTCACAAAGTGAATCGGCGTTCGCCGTGGACGACTCGCGAAACGGCATCGCTGGCGATACCGTTAGTGATGTGTCGTCGCTGCACGTACCGCTGTGCAATTTCCTTCCGCTGAACAAGGAAAACCTCGAGGAGCTGCGTCTGCAGATCGCGTCGGGGCAGTGCCCTCTCCGCGAGGAGGTGCTAATGGGGCTCAACGCCGCAATGCTGCCCAAGCCCGATGCGTCGCAAAGCATGTTGGTTGAGCCGCCTGCCGCCGTTTCACGCCTCGGTGACGCGGGGATGCCGCAGGAGGAGACCCTCTCGAACGGGTTGCCCAAAGCCCCCAGCTGCTGTGAAGATGCGCCGAACGCAGATGTCTGGGAGGGCGAAATGAATGCACTGAGGCGGCTTGTGGAGAACGTGGTAGCAGATATGCAGAGAGAGACGTCGGAGCGCGCCAGCATCATTGCGGATATGGTCGGCCTCCGCCACCTCCTACAGGTTCACACCAAGGAGGAAGCGAAAGTTCTTCAGGCATCTGAAGAAAAACGTTGTGCGTTCCAAACAATAGTAGAGACAAACCTCGCACGAATAGAGACACAGATGATGGAGGCTGATGCACAGATATCAGTGGGATTGTCTACAGAGATGGATGTGCTCAAGCAGATGGTGAATGAAGAGATGCAAAGCTTGCGAACTCATTATGAAGGGCAGCTCAGCGCCGTTCTTCAGGAGGTAAACGATCGTCTTGGGAAGGCGGATCAACTAATGAAAAGCGTACTAGAGCGACAGAAGGAACTACAACAGCAGGTGGACTACGCCTTTCGCTTGGAGGCCCTTCCTCCTGGTGAGGCAATTCCTGACGGGGAAAAAATACGTTTGGTGATTGATCTTCATATTTTCGATGAACACCAGGAAGTGCTGCTCCCCATCAGCAGCAAGGCAACAGTGGGGATCTGCAAGCGCGAACTCCTTCGGCGAATTCGTCATCAAGGGTTGATTGACGATGACATCCGATACTCCAATGTAGTGCTTTTGCATGGAAATGTTGCATTGTACGAGGAGGACGTCCTGTCGGACATTTTTACCTCTGAAGTTCAAAATGCCGGAAACGGAGGATGTTGTCTAAAACTAACGCTGCGCACCACACATACAAGACGCAGCGGCAGCTCGGTTACGATGCAAAAAGACACATTCGGAAGTACACCTTCTGCGACTGTAGAGCCAGGTGCTAGTTCGTTAGGTACTGGTGCTTCTGCTTCTGATGCGGATCCGGCTCAGGCTTCATCTTCAGCTACGAAAACAGTTTTCTCCTCTTCCTTGCCGCATGTGAACATTCTGCCTATATGCATCCCAACCACTGAGAAGCCTCCGCAATCGGAGGACTTTGGTGTGTTGCGTGCAAATATTGTGGACGATCTTAGCCAAAACGAGTCCCTCGATCGTCGACTGGTGTGGGAGCTCGAGCGTATAGAGTTCGATGCCATCAAGAGGGACGAGCAGTCACGTCATATTGTTGTTGCAAAAGATGCACTGAATCGCATACGCGCCACCTTGTTGGATCGTGTCATGTATTCTTCAGTCGAGGCGCACCGCCGCCTGGCCCGAAGTGCGCTTGAGAAGTTGGACCGTGCACTGCTCCCCGGCAGCACCGTGGAGGAAATGGGCCTGGCGAGCAGCACGGCCGCGGCGACTCTGCAAAGCATCAGCTCTACAGAAGGAGAGGACGAACGCGTCACCGCTATGCAGGAAGATATGCGTGTTGAAGAGGAGCGTAAGCAGAAGCTGGTAGAAGACATCAAGGTGTTGAATGACGAAATTTCCAATAGGCTGCGCATCCCAGCCAATTTAATGAGGCGCGCAGAGTCTGTGACGCAAAGCGCGCAGCGAGCTATCATTCTGGCGCCCACCATGTCGCAAAAGGACCTTGACGCGGTGCACGAGGCACTGGTGGATTACTGTGCCGCTGTTCGTACGCAAAACTGATCCCCTTTTTTTTTT